TGTGTATTAAAACTTGTTGCAGATCCCAGTTTGGATGAGGGCGATTGGTTCCATTTTGCTGCGCTTCAACCCACTGTCACCATTCAGAGCAACAGGGCCATGGGGTGAGCAGGTTTTTAGTTTAGGCCACACCAATTTAATTTGTTGGTTCTCGGATTCGCCTCTATTTTTTTCTGATTTGCAAAAAAAAAAAAGATTCTGGTTCTGAAACAACTAAAAAATGCTCATATTTTGCCCCCAACAGTTGAGGAAATTCCTTTTCTTCCTAGTTGTTACAGTTTTTTCCATCTATCAATGCAGTGGTTTGATTAAAAGTTCAAACTTTATACTTTAAATTTTACCCCAGCCTTTTTTGTTGACTTCATGGCTCATATTGCAGCATTTGGGGCTATAATAGGATGCCTAGACCTGTTTTTATTTTATTTTTTTTCGCCCTGTCGCTTCATATTTTTTTCTGAACAAATCCGAGAACCAACAAATTAAATTGGTGTGGCCTTAGAACGATATGACGCAAGGAGACCGATATATGACCAACAAATGTCTTTATTATGTAGTCCTAAAGCATCCATACTGTAGTCACGACTGTACTGTACTTGTATGGTTTACATGACTGAAGTGATGCAGAAGAGAGTATGAAGTGTGTAGTACACGGAGTGATGTAGACACTGCTGCTTCCTTGAACATGAAAAATTACGGGTAAAAGTTTAATACACACTGAAAAATAAAGTTTGAGTTTTGATAACGCTATACATGCTCATCTTCAAGCAGATATAGTGACCTGGTCAGTGTTTTACCTTTCTAGTAGATCTAGTAATGCAGACCACTAGAAAGAGAGATAAAAACAATATACTTCATCCATACCATGGTATGGAGTGAAATATAACAAAGGTCAAAAACATTTTCCAGACCTTAAATCTGCTTGGAGATAGGTACCAGTCTGCCTGCTAAGAGATAGGTACATGTGTGTTAAAATGGACCTGTTATACAGGCATACACATTTAGAACGTTTGGCAAGACCTGAAAAACAGTTTCCTATAATCATAACTGAAACTCTTAACCCATCACAAATGGGAAAAATGTATACTAATGTAGTACATGTACGTGGAACCCAATATTTTCATGTAAACAACACGCATTTTTGAACATAAACGTTAAGGCTAGGAGTACATGTATGTATTTGATTATTTTTTCTCCAATGAACAATTTTCAAACTCATACACAGATACTGAAGCACGCATTACACGGTCCACACATTCAAGTCAATACTCGGTAACAATCTTTCCTTGTGCTAAAGGCATCCAGTGCAGTTTTTAGGGCTTGGAAACCCAGTTTTCCAAAGCCAATACTCAAAGTCATTTATCTCCATAGTAAGTTGAAACCACACTATCCCAATGTATATTGACCTTCATGGAGCAAAAATAACTCAATATTCTGATGGAAAATTGTTACTGAAAGGGCCATGGGCTGATTTTTAGGGTACCACCCAGAAAATAAAGGACTCATCTTGTGGCTTGTTTCTGCAGTTTTAAAAGGCCCAAAGTATGAAATGCCGATTTAAATGTGCTAATGTGAAGCAATATGTGTCAATATCACAAAGATTGCCTTATTCAGAATTTTTTTCATTGTTGCTGCCCTGAAATCGCATTGGATGCCTTTAAGCATCCTTTCGTGGCCAACAATGTGTGGCTACCTTTAAGTTACAACATGTACAATGTTAACTTGCTGCACATGTCAGCTGTGGTTTGGAATATTCATAAAAGATAAGTTTTCTATTCACTTTTGTTTTTCACTGACAACTGACAATATCTGTCAAGAAAAATGAAGTACAAAATATCACATTGAAAATAAATAAGCATTAAGTATGCATTATAAAGTAATATGTACCATAATCAATAAAAACATTAAATAAGAAGGCTGACATCTTCAATTTCATGTTGAGATTTTGTCTCTGTGACATTAACTTTGATGAGAAGTTATGTGGTGTTATTATCTTGAAAGTTCATCTGTGTTGGTAGAAGTCATAATGAAGTAAGTTTAAACTGTAATTTCCAACACAACAAAAAAATTGGACTCACCCAAATTTTCGACTGTACAACTCCAGTCTTTTTCAAGGAATGAGCAATCCACTGCTTCCGTGACGTCATGCAGATAACACACGTGACTCCGTGAGCAGTGGATCATAGGTTGCAGAAAGTCTTAAAGAGGCTTAAAGAGGCCATCTACATCAGGGCTTTACAGCCATCCCTCAACAGAGACGGGGGGCGCCACAGACTTTCTGCAACCTATGATCCACTGCTCACGGAGTCACGTGTGTTATCTGCGTGACGTCACGGAAGCAGTGGATTGCTCATTCCTTGAAAAAGACTGGAGTTGTACAGTCGAAAATTTGGGTGAGTCCAATTGTTTGTTGTGTTGGAAATTACAGTTTAAACTTACTTCATTATGTGGTGTTATGTGTACACATTAGTGTAGTACATACATACAAACAAACACACTATATTATACATACATGTTAGCACACTTTTCTTTGGGTTAGTCCTGAATAAGCATTTTCACTTAACACAATATACAACACATAGGTATGTCTTAGTCTTGAGGTTTTCTGAGAAAAATCCATCTTTTTTTGTGTGTGAAATACTTGGCTTCTTTGGCAGTTGTTCAGCTGATAAAAACTAACAAAAAAATACAAAAATGAAAATAATGTTTATCACCCAGCTGTTGGCTTATACATATACCAACTTAAGTTATATCATAGCAGAAATAGGGTCATAGTTATCACTGTTGTTCTTTCTTGTAGAAAACAACATACAACTGTTGAACACATTTTATGGTGCCAAGAATCAAGACTGTGGTTATATTTTTTTTTAATTAACACATGAAAAGGACCTAATATCGACATATCATTTATTGTTATATAAAAATAAAGCCAACATTTTGATGCAAAATCATCAGTCAAAATCCCCGTACACAGACATATGCACTGTTTCTGAGTATTGTGTACATTAGGGCCTATTTTTTCTCACACTATTGGCATGCATGAAATTTCTACGTCACTGAAACATGGGGTTCAAAGATATTTATCGTCTTGTAGTAACCATGCTTAACTATTTTAGTCCGATATGCCATTTTTGTACCCTACTGCCAATTGGTAAGTACGGCCACCTGAAATCTTTTAAAGTTTTATCGTTCTAAAACTGAAACAATACTGGAGTTGTATAATGTAGCGGTTATGTTAATGCTCCACACTACTGTTGTAGAAACACATCTGTGTCAATGACTTCCATAGTGATCCCTTGGCTGTCTCCCCCAGCGTCCTCACTCCCCGACTGGGCGGCACTGTTGCCCTGCTGTTCCCTCTCCTGCTCCACCTCCCCCGCGTGGACGCGAGCGATGTGGACCTTGAGGTTCCCCTTTTGCCCGTACGGCTTGTTGCAATACTGGCAGCTGTAGGGTTTCTCGTTTCTGTGCAAGTACATGTGCATCTGTGGCAAGAGAAGAAAATATGATAAGGTAAAAGGTAAAGGTGGTCTCATAGCCTTTTTGAGCCTATAGGGGGTTGTTAGTCCACTGTGTCTAGGGCTGTGTCTAATTTCCGGACGTTTCGAGTGACATCCACCACTCTTCTTCAGCGTCACTAATGAACTAACAGAATTGTCAATAGAATCTCTTTTACATATCAATGACTAGTCGACTATATGAGCATTTGTCATGTTCAACTGTTTTTTTAAGGTGCTCCTATATAAGTGTTAACGATTCTGTTAGTTCATTAGTCAATGTCACTCAAAACGTCCGGAAATTAGTCTCCGAAATTTATCCAGAAATAGAGTTTGAATTTCCTATGAGTATTGTTTACCTGGATGTCTAACCTTCATCAACGTAAATACAAATAGACGATTATTATTATCATCATCCAATTTAACATCAATTTTCCCCGAACTGGGGATAGACGTGCTTGCATCAAATGCAAGTCTTTTTTTTGTAAGCAAGATTTTTACAGCTGGATGCCCTTTCTGACGCCAACCCAAACCCTAGTAGGGCCCAGGATCCCTCTAACTGAGGGGGGAAATACGTGTTAAGTGCCTTTCCCAAGGGCACAACGTCTGGGTGCATGTCCAGACATGTCTGGGTCCAATCCTGAGGATTGAACCTGGGTTTCCTTTCTCGACAGTCAGATGCTGTATTCACTACATCACAGAGATGCCACATGCTGGGTGAAATTCGTGATAACACAGACCTGTAGGGCGTTGGACTGGTTAAACGTCTTGCTGCACTCCGGACACTCGAAGGGTCGATCGCCTGTGTGGATCCTCACATGTCTCTCCAGCTGGCTGGGACGGTGGAAGGACTTCCCGCAGGTCGGACACGTGAAGGGTGCCGGCTTCTTGGACTTGTCAGGACTGCTGGCCTCATGGGTCTGAGGGGGTAAAAAATGCTATCAGAAAAAATGTTGCGCTTTGTACATGCACATTGTAAAGACCTCTGAAACAACAAAGATCATTGATTCCTTAGGCCTATGAAAAAAATCTTGTGTTTTCTATTTCAGTCTTGAAAAATTAGGGTTGTTTTTTTTCTCTTCTTTGATTAGTAATCTCTAGTGATCCAACGTATACAGTTTAACAAAGTAAAACTAAAACTAAAAAGGCTAGGGTCAGCATTTTTTTCTAGGGTTGGTCGGGAAACAGGAAACACAACATTTTTTTCCTACGCCTTAAAATTGCACATAAATCTGTGCCTTCTTGATTCAAAATGACAAAGTTGTACTTTTTTTTCTGTTTTCTGTCTAAAAACATACTACAAATCAAAACAGATAAAAAACATTGTCCATCATCCGTGTGACATACCTGCATATGCTCCTTGAGATGGTAGGAGCGTTTAAAGGCCTTGTTGCAGGTTGGGCAGATGTGGTTTCGTGACGGGCTGTGCTGCTCTCGCTGGTGACGTTTCCACTGCGGCGACTGCGTGAAGGACTGCCCGCAGTCCTGGCACACGTAGATCTGCCCGGTCTCCGACGTCTTGTCCGGCTGGGCGCCGCCGTTCCCCGCCCCGTCCTGTTCCTGGATGGCGGGGATCTCGTACGCGGTGATTTCCGTCAGATCGGCGGGGTTGCCCGGGATGGACTCCTGGGACACGAGGACGGAGGAGATGGTGTTGGTGACGGAGACGCTCGGCTCCACCAGCACCCCCGTCCCCGGGACCACCGTATCCCTGACGGTCTGTATACCCGCGGGCCCGCCGTCTGCTGACACCATCACCCCCTGTCCGTCCTCCCCTAACTGCAGCGCCTGCGCAGAGCTCGCCATAACCTGGGATGACATGGACCCGGCTTGGATGGTGGCTGGGAGGAAGGTTACTGCGGCTAACGAATTTGAAGCGCTGTTGGAAGCGACCATGATGCCTTGTTGTTCCTGTGCGGAGGACGCCACACTACTGGATGGCTGCGGGCGAATCGTCAACTCCTCCCCGATGCTCGTGGTGGGGTGGACTCCCCCCTGGATGGTGAACGCTACGATCCCACCCCCCTGGGAGGTGTTAGCGAATCCCACGGCCTGTTGGTGAGGGGTCCGGGTGCTGTCGTCATCCCCCTGAGACGAGGCCCCTGATTGGACGTGTGTTGCCATGGTGAGCCCAGCTGTGCTTGTTGCATCTGACGGTGTCAGTTGGGTGTTGCCTGCCTGAAGAGAGGTTGCTACAGTACCTGTGGACAAGGCACAAATATTTATGTCAGTAGTAAGTCAGTAGTAGACCAAATAGCCAATTCCAAATTACTCCAACTGGAATACACCGTGTTGTATTTTATTTATGTCATACCTACCCAAGAAACGTGCCTTTCAATGCAAAATGAGCCAGAATGTGGTGTCACTACGCCTTAAAATGCAACAACATCAGTTCCAACTTTCGAATTCTGTATTCCAATTTTCGAAAGCGGCGCACGCAGTTAGGACGAAACGCATTCAAATCGTTCTATGGAAGCCATCGAGCCCGGGCCATACCGTAAAGTACGGCCCGGAACCCATTATCGAACCTTATTGTGGCCCTGGTATGATATAAAATCATGTATATGAGCCCACCTGTGATAGCAGCTCCAGGAGAGGTCTGTATGGCCGACCCAGGCTCGGTGGTGCCCAGGGTGGTGTGGATAGGCTGCTCCACCTGCACCAGGCTGCCGTCCGTGTTGGTGAGTGTCTGCGTGACGACGCTGGTGCCCACCGAGCCCTGCTGTAGGGACTGCTGCAGCAGACTGGGGTCAATCTGCACAGTCTGCAGCAGGTTCGGATCAATGGAGGCGACCTGCGGACAGAAGGTTGTCTGTTTAGACCACACCGATATAAACCTAGTCCTGCAGTGCCCAACAATTACAGTACCATCCATATAGTACCCTGTATAGGTACGATTTGGGGGTATTTCTCGTGCAACGCATCACACCGCAGCGAAATGCAACGAATGCTGAAGTAACTATGTCACCGCAGGGCAAAAAAAGTCAGGAGTATATGACCCAATTAAGACATGAAATTATTGAAAAATATTGTGTAAAGCAGGACAAGGGTTAATCTGTTGATGCTCAGATTTGTTCAGAAGTTCCTGCCCTGGTATAGAGTGACAGCACAAGCTTAGCACTGCACCAGCTGGAGAAGGAAGTGCCACAAATGACTAGGCATGGGATGAACCAGAGAACATGGACCAGTGCAGGTTAGGTGCAGGTAGACATCAGAGATACCCACACAGCCTCAATTTTACCTACATATGCCCCCAGTATTTTGAGCCCTGCATTTCCTCACCTGTACAGCCCCCTGCCCAACATTAACGGTAGTGAAGGTGAGCTGCATGCCCTCCAGCCCCTGCAGGATCCCCGTCACCACACCACTCTCCGACGCGTTCACAAAGCTGTCCAGGCTGCCGCTGCTGATGGGCAGCAGGGTCGTCTGACCTTGGGACAGCAGGTTCTGGTCAAGGGCGGTCAGCGGACCGGTCAGAACCGTCTGGCCGGTCAAGGTGTTCGGATCACCTACAGAAAAGGCAAGAAACAGACTTAAGTTTAGCATGAAAGTTCACCTGAATAGGTACACTACATAATGAATAACTCAAAAACAGTTAGAGATCCTTTTTGAGTTACATGTAGAAACAGCTGGTGTGTTACGCCGAAGGGCAGTTATCTGTCTATTACAGATACAGATTCAACTCACCTAATGACGAAATTTGACCCAGTGCTGACATTACACAGTCATGCTGAAAAATCATGCGTCTACAGAGCTTTCAAGAATGGACTTAATCCCAAAAGTCCTCCATGTAATTTCTTTAGGCCTAGGAAAAAATGTTGTGTTTCCTGTTTCAGTCCTGAAAAAATTAGGGTCGGTAGGAGGGATTATCTTTTTTTTTTTTAGACTTCAATATCTATATGCCTAGAAAATGTTGATCATCTCAAAATTTATGTCCCTTGCAGGGGTCCACCCCCCAAAAAAGTCTACGGTCGGCCGGTTTTCTAGGGTCGGTCGGGAAACAGGAAATACTACATTTTTTCCCTAGGTATTATCATGACTTACCGGTAGTGAGAAGGTTGATTGGTTGCAGCAGCTCGGCCTGGCGAGGCGTTGGTTTCCTCTTCTTGGGCGTGCTGGGCTTGAAGTGGGAGGTGATGTGGTTCTTCCTGTGGCCGGACGTGCGGAACCGCTGGTCACAGTGTGGGCACTTGAAGGGCTTGGCACCCGTGTGGAGTCTCATGTGGACCTGCAGCGTATGGGGGATGATAACACTTTCAGCAAAGAGAACACTGACTAATGAACACCTTTACTCCACATCTTTTACAGGATACTTTTTTTTCCAACCTTTATTTAACCTTGAAATGTACAGAAAGTACACTCTTCGGCCTGAGCAGCTTTTCAAGAGTTCAAGGGGAGGTAGGTCAGGGGTCTTTTCAAATGCTTCGATTCAGTTACAGGTCGTAGAAATATAAATTCATACTATACAAATCCATACAAGAATTCAAACATTATCTCAATTACTATGATCTTATTGCCATCAATATCAACATCCAAGTTTCATATCACAGTTGTAGTCATTCTATAGTGAGTTGACGCAGTCGGTTTTTAAAAGCTACAACTGACGTGGCAGTTCTCAGAACCATTGACAAATCATTCCACAATACACGTCAAGTACTGAGCCTGAGTATGAAAAGGACCTTATGTACACTTCCCGATTAACCATTGGCACATACAAGAGGTCAGAAACACTTTGCCGTGTGGTTCGTACTGCCCTATCATTACAGTATGTAAACATTTGTCTCATGCGTGTAAGCTGGCAAAAAGTCTTGAAGGTACTAGTACCTTGAGGCTCCCCTTGGTGGAGAATGGTGAGGAGCACACGTGGCACTTGAAGTTCTTAGACCCGGTGTGAGTCTTGACGTGGCAATCTAGAGTCGACTTGACTGTGAACCGCTTCCCACACTCGTCACACTACAGGAAATGCACAACTGTTAGCTTCAATCTTACTCAAGACTCAAAATTAAAATTTTTTCCTGAATTGTCCCAAAAATAAATTTCAATTGTCCCAAAGTGAGGATGAACGGTCCCAACCTGTTTTTCGGGAAGTATGTATGACAATAACTTGAAGTCATCACTATTTTGCTTACATTCTGACTCCCAGGCACACTGTCATTGCATTGTACACTAGAAATTTGGGGGGCTTTTTTGTTCCAAAAGCCAGGACGCGTGCCTGATTGACGGAAGAAGGGTTGATATTCTGATGTTGATTATTTTTCTATTGTTCCAAAAATGTCCCAAAGTGATTTTTTAGTCGTCCCGGCCTAAATTTTAGTGGTCAGTGGCCATCGGGACACCGTTAATTTTGAGCCCTGCTTACTACCTCTGTGAAACGGGCGGTATCATTTTTGTCTGTCAAAACTATCATGCAAGGAACAGTCCAGGGAGGAAGAAAGTGGGGTAAGAGATGGGAGGATAATATCAAAGAATGGACAGGCATGACACTAAGACTTAGTAAAACGTTCTTTTCTCCTGAGGAATCTACATAATCTTTAAAATTACCTGGAAGGGTTTTTCTCCCGTGTGAATTCGAACATGTCGGACCAGATCACTGGGCTTCTTGAAGCTCTTGGGACAGTGCTTGCACTGGTTGGGAAACTTTGGTTCCTCTCTGTACAGCTCCTCTTTGTCCACCACCATCTCGCTAACTCGGCTACGCTCGGCAGCCGATGCGATTAGGACTTTTTCAGAGACAGAGCGAGCTTGTTCGGGCTGCGATTTCGCCAGCTGGTCGGCTTCCTCGGCGGGGAGTTGGATGATGTTGGAGCGCGGTCGCCGTACGACCTAGACGTTCAAGAACATCATAAATAACATTTGTTTTATTTTATTGAAATTGGAACAATGCAATACATGCGGAACAGAGGAAGCTGTTGCTGGTGTTGTGTCCCGCACATAGAAACGGATACTGGACAGACAATACTCATTTTCACTTGAGTCTAGTGGGGAAAGTCGTGTAAAGTTCCTTTCCCAAGGGCACGAGATCGGTGGCATGTCAGGACTCGAACCCGGGACCTCTTGATTCCGAGTCGCGCACGCTGCCGTTGCGCCACACGACCCCACATAAATGACATGATGACTCACAAAATAGATACACACAAACCCTTAAAGCACTGGTGGTAAGGTACTGGCACAAGCAAGAAGCTGAATATTGTATCATAGCATGCGAGCTCTGACCTCCCAAAAGCGATCTGGAAATGTCATGTTGCTTTGTAGTTGTAATTGTTTATTGCTCTGTAGTTTTAGTATTAGTTGTAGTCGAATGGATGCTAGTGTTATGTTATGTGCCTTAATTTGTAATTACATTTGTGTACTCTGTGTTTTATGAATCCAGGAAGAATAGATTAGATTTGATATCTAATCTAATGTTAAGTTAGTTAGTTAAAGAGCCTTCCCACGTAAAGTGACGCATAGGGCGGTGCCCATCTCCATTCATTAGCCCTGGGCCACACACAGTAGTCACTACAGCAGGGGGCTAGTCCACTGGTAGTAGTGGTGTGTGTTTAACTCCCATACTCTTTCCCAATTGCTGAGTGCTAAGCAGAGAAAGCAACTTATGTACCATTTTCAAAGTCTTTGGTATGACTCGGCCAGGGATCAAACTCTCAACCTACCGAATGCAAGGCGAGCGCTCTACCCACTTGGCCATTGCACCGGTAATCTAATGGATATCTAATAAAACATTAAACATCAACCGACCGGCCGTTCTTTCTCCGTTTGCTTGTCGCAGTGGAGCTTCATGTGGCGCTTGCAGTGCAGGGTGGTGCGGAAGGTGTCGGGACAGTACGGGCACTTGAAGGGGCGGATGGAGCTGTGGATGATCATGTGACGGGTGAGGGAGCCGTTGGTGGTGAAGCGGGCGTCACAGATGTGGCAGTTGAAGGCCTTGATCCCGGAGTGGGTCCGCAGGTGAGCCTTTAGCACTCCACTGGACACAAAGCACCTGTTATAACAGAAAGGAATGTCACAAGAACTTTAAAAATTAAGAAAATTATACACATGGCACTGTCCTTGGTGCTGAACTGTATTGTAGCTGTATGAAGCTTCTCCTAAGGCCATGTTGATTTGATTATATGAATGACATCCTCTGGGAACCTGGGAAGTTTTGCAAAAAAAACGTTACTTTTATTTTGAAATCTACGTAGTCATGAAGGTTGAACAAATGACACAGAATATGGTTTGGCGAATGATCTACTCTTCAAATTCATTTCTTTAATTTACTTCTTTTTTGTTTGATTTTGACATTCTACAACATTTGTATCATTTTAAATATTTTTTTTTTTGCATGTCATGGTATGTATTTGCTCATTTTGCAACTGTTTTGTATGATTTACAGTATGTTTGAAAACTTTTTTTTGGAAACGGCCAGAAATTCATGTGCGCGCGGATGTCATCCATATAATCAAATCAACATGGCCTTATATATGTACGGTAGACACAATTCTCCAGTACTTTCTTCCACCCAAATCATTGTACAATAATAAGAAAATCAAAATCATTACACTCTTTAGTTAGACTTTACCCAGAAAAGTCACGTTTACAAGTAACAGCCTTGCTGCCCACCTTCCACACTGTTGGCACTTGTAAGGCTTCTCCCCCGTGTGGGAGCGTACATGCTGCTTGAGGTGGGAGGACTTCTTGAAGGACTTGTCGCAGTAGGGACACTTGTAGACGCGTCGCCCGTCCTCCGTCTCCTGCTGCACCATGGCCTGGCGCATCAGGTCCCGCGGGATCCCGCCACTGTCCTGCTGCTGGCTGGTCTGCTGCCATGGCTGAGGGGTCAGCTGGGGACACACAGGTTTAAAACATCAATATACAGTCAAATCTGCATCAGGGTGTTCCGTATCGCCCGTGGTACCAGCCCGACCGCGCGTTGGATCACCTGACGGCAGAAGAAGGGCTGGGACTGAGGGTGATGCGGAATACACCGTGTTGTATTTTACTTATGTCATACACACCCAAGAAAACACGCCTTTCAACGCATTCGAATCGTTCTATGGAACATTTTGGAAGCCCGGGCTGTATGTGTAAAGAAGCCTGGGCCGTACAGTAAAGTATGGCCCGGTACTTTACTGTACGGCCCGGTCCGGAACACCCGTATCGAATGTACAAAATAATTTTGTTGTTGACTGCAAGTTTTCTGAAAGCAGTGCAACAAAGTAAATCATAACTGTTCTATATTGACCCAGGGCTCGAAATTAATTATTAATTATAAATAATAATAAACTATTAATGTTTTAGTTCTTAAGAAAGTGTTATAACAATCATTTTATTATTTTTCTAACACTTAGATATTAAGAATATGCTGTATACTACAGTATACAATGTACATTTAACATCATATGTAAACCTACTAAAATATTTGGGTGCACTGGTGCACCTACATAAAAAAATTGGGTGCACAGCTCTAAATTTGGGTGCACTAAGGTGCACATGCACCCAGTATTTCCAGCCCTGTGACCTGATAGTTTTTATGTCAGCTGAATTGAAACTTTATATCAAGGTTGGTCTTTCCCTACCTGGTAGTTCTGCATCTGCGTGGCAGCGTCTAGCTGCTGCTGCAGCTGTTGTACAGTAGCGAAGGTGGAGTCCTGGTTGATGCTGCCTGTCCCACTGAAGCTGGTGGCTGTCTGGAAGCCCTGCTGTCCAAACTGGTTCAGGTGCTGGTCCTGAGTCAGGCTGTCCTGGCCCTGAGTCACAGCACAAAAAAAAAACACAGTTATTTTGTGAGTTTTTTTGTTTCGCTTAACTGGCAAACCATCTTTTAGGTGCAACACACCTGGTACATGTAAGTACAAGCTGCTTAAGACCCGACTGTAAGGTTTAAACCACTCACACTGGGAAGGTCCCTTACTCTTTTTTCGATAAGTGTGGTGGGTTCTTTAACGTGCGTGGGGTGTAGCTCTCCCCAAACACGGACCTCAATTAAACGTCCTATCCGAGGGACGTCCCTAACCAAAGCTAGGTACACATTTACACCTGATTGAAGGGAGGAAAGTCATGTTAAGTGCCTTTCCCAAGGGCACAAGATTGGTGGCATCAGGCAGGATTCAAATCCAGAACCTCTTGGGTCTGAACTGAACACTACCATTATGCCACACGACCCCACCTGATTTTTTAGCTTATAATAAAGGTTAAGCTTTTTTGAGGCTATAGGGGCAGTGTTTTAGGGTATAGTATTGCAAGACAGGGAGAAAAAGAGAGAGAGAGCCAACCCACCTGTGCTCCTGACAGTAAGTCCTGTACACTCTGTCCCTGTCCAGCTGTCCCCGCCAGGTCCTGCTGGTCAAGCCCCAGGCTCAGCAGCTGCTGGTCACTCATGCCCATGTCCAGTGTCTGGGTGTCCTGGCTGGTGCCTGGCAGGGGACACAAAATCCATTCACATTATACAAAATGTATGTTAGACATCCAGGTAATAAGATAGGCCAATAGAGAATTAGTAGCCAAACAGCTGCTTTGCCATACTAAAGGCTGAATTTTTGTCTGTAACTATTGTAGTGTAGAACAACTTGCTTGAGTAACTGTATTTTGGTGTATCTTACATATCCATTACCTGGATGTCTAACCTTCACTGATGGACATGTAGAACTGATTATCATCAATTATCATGCTAGGGACATCCTCACTGTATAAGTAAATTTTTGGATGTGCAAAGGATAGATGTTATTTTCTGAATTAAAAAAAAAAGGAGCATTGAGACAGCACCTTGCTGTTGCTGCTGCTGTGCGTGCTGTTCCTGCTGTTCCTCGCTGTCATCGCCCTCCCCGGCGACAGCAGCTGCAGCCTGGGACAGCGCTTGGGCAGCCAGCTCGGCGCGGTGCGTCCGCATGTGCTTCTTACAGTTGACGGATGTCTTGAACGTCTTTTGGCAGTACGGGCACATGAAGGGGCGGACCTGTGCACAGTGTAGAAAATGACAAAACAGCTTAATATAGCTGAGCAAACCAGTAACAGCCTTACAGCAGCTTCAAAGCTGACTTAAACAATTAGAAAGGTACTAACATTTGCAAAGCAAAATGCATAATGTTTACCTTCGCATATGGTCTGCTCTGTTAAGTCTTACACAAACACATTCACATATATTGTGACAGGTCTGGAGTCTAAATCCCTCCTACTATAAAATTGCAACATGATGTAACCCAACACCAGTTACCATGGTGAGAGACAATCTGGTTCAGGTCATTGAACCAGGTCACAGGTCAGTGTTTGTAACGGAAGAAGACACAGAGCAAAAACAATGTTTTCCTTCGGTAAACATAATTACACGGAAGTGGGTTTGCAAAAGTAAATCTACTAGAGAAGTAACATTTGCAAAGCAAATGCATAATGTTTACCTTCAGACATGGTCTGCTCTGTTAATTCTTACTCAAACACATTCACACACATGTACTACTACTAGTACATGTATATGGTGACAGGTGCAGAGCAGACCATGAAATTGCAACATTATGTAACCCAACACCAGTCACCATGGTGGCAGACGTTAACAAATCATGTCATTGGTCAGGTCAGAGGTCACTGTTTGGAGAAGAAGAAGAGGAAGAAACTGAGCAAAAACATAAGTTTTTGTTACCTCACTGTGGGTGGACATGTGCCGCTTCAGGCTGCCGTTGGTGGTGAACAGCGCGTCGCAGATCAGACACTTGTACGCCTTGATACCGGAGTGGGTCCGGATGTGCGCCTTCAGCACGCCCGACGACACGAACGACTTCCCGCACTGCAGGCATTTGAAGGGCTTCTCGCCGGTGTGGGAGCGCGTGTGCTGCTTGAGGTGGGAGGACTTCTTGAACCCCTTGTTGCAGAAGCCACACTTGTACGGGCGGTCCACGCTGCTGCCCTGCGAGATGAACTGGTTGTTTCCGTTGGGTAGGAACTGGTTGAAACTGGAACTGTTCCTTGGAGGTTGTTGTATATACCCTGTAGATAAAGATATAATATTTGTTCCTGACTTCATTTTGTCTGATCATTGTTTAATATGATGCCAAAAGGCTCAAATTTAGTTTTCAAATTTAGCCTCCATGGCAGGCACCATATTTCAAACTTCTGTATGCTTATTTCTTCGAGGCATATTATCAGAAAACACACCAATAAGGCCACAACAAAAAAATCTACTCTCCTCTTAACATCTGAAAACCCACCAAGTACAGAAATGGTGGGATCCTTTGTCTTCCTCTGTCTTCAAAAAAGAAGTCAAACCCAGTAGTTTTTACTAGTAGTTTCTGAATAGTTATCAGTAGTTCTATGTGTACTGTTTTTATACCAAATGTTTCTTCTGTTCATGCAATTAGCCCTCGGGCATGAATTTGCAATAAAACTTGATTTATTTATTTTCGGGACTAGTGCTGCATACCGGTTCACTGGACTTGGATCCGGACTTGTAAGAATGTTTAGGTTCAAGTCCAAAAAAACCTAAAAGTCAAGAACCGAGTCCGGACTCATTACCATAAAAGGCCATTTCACATGCCCCTTTTCTTTCCAAACCACCAAAAACCTGCTGCAAAATGAAGAAAACATTGCCATCGGGCATCGTCAAGTACCGGCCTCCATTTTATGTGGCCAAAGTTTCACCCAGACAACATTGTAAGGTTGCCAACATGCAATTTTGTATATGCCATGGGTTTAGGTCTGGACTTACAAGTCCGGAACTGAACCTAAACCTCTGGACTTGAATCCGGACCTGAACCTTTATGTGGGTTTAGGTATGCAGCACTATTCGGGACAGTGCTGGGACAATACTCAGTCAATAGGAAGAAAAGTTAATTTCGAGGCCTGTAGTGTTACATAAAAAGCCCCACCTGTATCAGTGATGAGGATGGGCTCTTGTAGGGGGATGTCCTGTAGCTGGATGTTGGACTTGCTGAGGCGAGGCTTGGACATCTTCCTGCTCTTCCTCTGCTGAGGCTCCTTGAAGTGGGAGGCGATGTGGGTCTTACGGTGGCCCGACGTGCGGAATCGCTTGTCGCAGTGTGGGCAGTCGAAGGGCTTGGCACCCGTGTGAAGCCGCAAATGTACCTGGTGTGGTGATCAGACACAGGAGAATATACAACACAGTTTTATTACATAACAGTACTTCCAGGACAGTATAAATATCTAGCACAAATTAGCACCTGGTGGAAAAGTGGGTGGGCAGAGATGGCATTTCAGTTGATTGACTGGGTTTGATCCACAAGGATGTGGTCACCAGCATTTTTATGGCTTCACCACTATGTTTTGAAGACATTGTTTTTCCTCATGTTTCTTCTCCTTCTCCTTCTGCCATTTCTTTAAATTGATTCAACTCCTTCATTTTTGGACCAAATAGCATTAAATTAAACATGAAGGTAGAGTGGGTATATACCCCCAGGCATTTTTTTTTCATTTTTGTGATACAGGCTTTTACAATGGTTTTATTTGAGCTTTTTGGCTGCATTACAAAAAATGTACTATAGCAGTGTTTTACCATGTTTGGGTAAGAGTCATCAGAATGGTATGCAGAGCAAGCAACCGATAGGCATGCAGCTTTTCTCTATTCTTCTTGCTGATTGGCTGTTGGGATTCAAATGGGTTAACTCAATGGGAAAAAAATTCCCACCTTCAGACTTCCTTGAGTAGAGAACATCTTCTCGCACACGTGGCACTTGAACTCCTTGACGCCCGAGTGCGTCTTCATGTGCGCGGTGAGCGTGCTCTTCACGGCGAAGGCCCGGAAGCACTGACTGCACTTGTACGGCTTCTCGTGGGTGTGGATGCGGATGTGGCGCACCAGGTCGCTGGGCTTGCGGAACTCCTTGTTGCAGTAGGTGCAGAGGTGCAAGCGGATTGTCCGCTGCTTCTGCCCTGTCACTAACTGCACCTGGGGTGGAAGAAGGAGCTGAATAAGAATGGTTTTATTGGGACTGTATTTATCTTCTGGGTCGTATTTGGGAGGGACACACTTTTCAGGGTTAGAGTTCCATAATCAGTAAAAAAAAGTAGTTGCTGTAGATTGTAGAACTGTGCACTTGCACATGAATTTCAGTTGAACTTAAATGTACATAGTATGATGTAGTATAGTCTTTAACAAGCTAAACAAATTGGCAATGAAAACATGCATTGCCGTGGCGACGGTGGTTGCTGTTAGGGTTATTGTTTGCATGGCACTGCCATCATTTCATGATTTTGAGGAAGCCTTCGTACCCTCCCCTCTCCTGAGTGTATAGTGAACGAACCCCGGGCTCACAGAAAGTACATGAAAGGCGTCTTGGGCAGACAGGCTTTCCCAAGGGTTTCCAGGAATGTGGGCATGTCAACAAACTGGGAGACATTCCTGTGGACATTTCATGCCTGTGGACAAAAATCCCGTACAATTCCTAGAATTCTTGCAAACTGCACACAATACTGTACCAATAGGCTCCTCCCTGAGATGTGGCCAAAAAGTTTTTGCTGTAGATTGTAGAACTGTGCAATTGGATAATTGGTGAATTTCTGTTGAACTTATATGTACATAGTATGATTTATCATTTAGTATAGTCTTTAACAAGCTAAAAATGGGAAAGGATGACAGAGGCTCATGACTACCTGTGTGGTTGTCTCTCTGGTTTCTCCTGGAGTGTCGTTCATGGTGTCCCCTGTCCTAGTCTGGGTGGAGATGGTGACCACTGGGTGCACCGGGTGCTGCGCTGCCTGGCCATCCAGTGGAACAGCAGTCAAACCACTGTTCTCAAGAGCCTACAAAAACACATACAGGAAAATCAGTGGAATTACCTCCATTGTTTTTGGTCCGTCTGTGTGTGTCTGTATGTATGTATGTGTTCCTATACATTTGTGGTCAGAATAACTTCAATAGCAATGCCTGAATGGACTGTGATGATAATAGGTATGTGGGTAGGTCTTGCGAAGACGAGGAACTTCAGGTTTTTGTATCTTTTGTCCTGGAAATGCCACACAATATACATACCTGCTGCAGAATGTCGGAGCTGATGGCTCCCTCCCCTGCAATCTGCTGCAGCTGCTGCTGCGTCATCACACCGCCATGCTGCAGGAAAATATCAACAGACGTTCATTGATTTGCATGGAAGGTCAAAATACATGGTATCAATGACATATCATTGTAGGCGTACTATATGATGATCACCACATGAATGTATATGCATGGCTTGTATGGACATGTTCGGTGGTGGATAAAACATGTCTGGACACGAGTAAAGCGTGTTCTAGACAACAACCATTAGGGACCTTCAGCTTTGACCTCTCACAGGTGCAGTCCAAATTGTGAACCAGTTTATTAACCTTTTGCCTGCTAGAGTAGCCCTTTGGCACCAAGTTTGTGTTGGGCTTGGTTTTAGGTAGTGCTGTGTACCTAAACCCACATTTAGGTTCAAGTCCAGACCTAAACCCATGGCATATACAAAATTGTATGTTGGCAACCTTGCAATGTTGTTTGGGCAAAACCGTGGCCACATAATGTAACATGGAGGCTGACACTTCATGATGCCCGATGGCAATGTTTTCCTCATTTGGCAGCACAGATTTTGCAATCTATGGAAGGTCTAATGTGGTTTGGAAAGAAAATGGGTATGTAATATGGGTTTTTCTTGTAATAAGTAAGAATGAGTCCAGAATCGGTTCTTGACTTAAGGTTTTTTTTTTACTTAAACATTTAACCTAAACATTTTCACAAGTCCAGAACCGGTCCAGCAAACCGGTACACAGCACTAGGGTTAGGCAGGTGGGAGAAGGTTAAGGTGACTCACCTGTTCAGACAGATCCAGCAGCTGCTGCATGGCATCTGCTGCAGGTGTGAGGGACTGACCCGGGGTCACCGTCTGGCTCTGTATGGTCTCTGTACTGGAGGCCGTGGGATGCTTAGGTGGGACCTGTCGTCAATGGAAATAGATTTCTCAATCAACTTTCTACCTCATGTTAGGCCACACCAATTTAATTTGTTGGATTTTTTCAGAAAAAATATGAAGTGACACGGCGAAAAAAAATGCTATGAAAGGAGCCATGAAGTCAACAGACCAGGCTGGTTTGTAATTCAAACAATGTATATAAAAATTTTAATCAAACCGCTACATAGATAGATGGAAAACTGTAACAACTCTGAAGAGAAGGGACTTCCTTCGAACAACTGTGGGGCCATAATATGAGCCTTTTGGAGTTGATGCAGAGCCTTTTTGCAAATCAGAAAAAATGAAGCGGGCGAATCCGAGAACCAACAAATTAAATTGGTGCGGCCTTATATACCTCAGGGTATGTACAAAATGTATTTCTGCACCACATTACTAATCTCCAAGCAGATCATACAGTGGCAAGGCAGTATCCAGCAGCAGCAGTGGCCAGAGGAGTGTCCATTGGCCACCGAAGGGTGACCAATGGATATTGTCTGGATAACGGACACTGCCTGGCCAATTCGATACTGTCTTTTGCAGCCACCGAAAGATCTGCTTGGAGACTACTACATAACTGTATATAATAATAAACACATGCTGTCACTCAACTGTCAACTCAACAGACATACATGTACAAGCTAACACACACATACAGGTAAGAAGTCTTCCTCTATCTGTGAGAGCCTGACCTGTGTGGGAGGGCCTTGGTCGGAATGCACACGGCTGATGTGTGCGTTGAGGCTGCCCAGCTTCTTGAACAGACAGGTGCACTCCTCGCAGGGGTAGCGGGGCGTGTTCTCGTCTTCAGGGACCGTGTGGACACGCAGAATGTGGGCACGCAGGTTACCCTTCTGTGAGAAACCCTGTGAGGAGGAAAGGACATTTATTTTCATTTCATTTATTTCATTTATTTCGAAACCTTTTAGCCCCGAAGGGCTAATCTTCCAAGGCTCAAACATTATAGCAATTACAACATAGTGGAAACATTTAAAAATACATACATACATACATGTACACCACATCAACAATAAATACACATAGATATAAACAATTTAAAAGTGGCGAGCAAGGGTCAAGGATCAGGTGACACTACTACTGTTTGAAACGGCTTTCTTAAAACTGATAACATCGCACAGTGTCTTAACGTCAGATGGTAGATCGTTCCAGAGCACGACTGCACGATACAGGAATGAGCGTTTTCTGCTGTTGGACTTAGGTATTGGTAATCTAAAGTTATGTGCGGAAGATCTGGTATTATGACTGTGAGATGCATGAACAGGCAAAAGTGAGGTGTAAATATTTTGTGGTTCGTGACTCGTGAGGATCTTAAAGAACATGACCAAAGTGCTTTTCAAGAATCTCTCTCTCACAGTCGGCCAACCAAGATCTAGATGCATCTGCCTGGTAGGAGTATCAGGAGTACATTTCAGTAACAGTCTACATGCCCTATTCTGCACTACTTGCAGTTTGCGCATGTTGGAGTCTGACATGTTGGCTAAGACTGGTGCGCAGTACTGTACAACTGACAGAACCAGTGCACAAACAACAACCTTGCAAACTGCAAAAGGCATCGCCCACATATGCCTTCTCAATAGGGCAATGTTTCTTGATTGTCTTAACGCAATGTGAGTAACATGTGAGTTCCATGTGAGAGACCTATCCATGTGTAGACCCAACAAAACTGTCTCCCTCACTTCCTGTACCCTCTCAGTACCGATTGCAAGATCTAGTGAATTATCAGGCAAACTAGCGAGCCTACGTGGGGTTCCGAAAAGCATGCATTTAGTTTTAAGAATATTCAACACTAACTTATTCATGCAAACCCAGTCTGATAAACGTACAAGGTCAGATTGCAAACCAGTATTGATGTCACTAACAGTCCTACCAGCTTTGTAAATAGATGTATCGTCAGCGTACATTTCAGGTGTGCTGTTTAACACCGACGAAGGTAGGTCATTCGTAAACAGTGTGAAAATGAGTGGGCCTAAACAGCTTCCCTGAGGGACACCACACTGAAGTAAGGAGGGTTCAGAGAAGTGACCGTTGATGTAAACAACTTGTGATCTGGCCTCAAGATAACTCCTCATCCAAGACATGGCATTGGATGAAAAGCCATATGATCTAAGCTTAGCTAACAGAATATCGTGGTCGACTAGGTCAAATGCGGCGCTGAAATCAACAAACACTGCACCCACCAACTCGCCTCATGTGGGTTGAAAGGATTGTACCAAGAAGTTGTGTGCAACATACATTGTAGGTGACAGTGAAAAGGAAATAGGGTGTATACAAAGTTTAGTACATGCATGACTGTTGTTTCAAGATACATTTTTATATGACATGCCAAGTGTCCAAGTTGCATTGTCTTTTGTCTTGGGCATTGTCCAAGTTGCATTACCAAGCCATAATTCTAGGCCAACAACTAGAGTATCAAGATGTTATTTCTAGTCCTATCAAAAGAGCAGAAAACACTCTCTCTATCACACATTACATGTTTCACAGACACATTCTTTAGTTGTCTCCTTATCCCACATCCCAGATCCCTCCTCTAAGCACTTGAGGAGCAAACTGGAGCTAGAACTAGTAACATTTGCAAAGCAAACTGCATAATGTTTACCTTCGCATATGGTCTGCTCCGTTAATTCTTACTCAAACACATTCATATACAGGGTGACAGTCTAAATCCCTCCTGCTATAAAATTGCAACATTATGTAACCCAACACTTGTTACCATGGTGACAGACGTCTGGTTCAGGTCATTGACCTTATTTGGTTGGAGAAGTAGAAGATTCTGAGCAAAAACAATATGTTTTCCTTTGAAAGTAGTTTGGTAACCATAATAAGATGTATACCAGGTTAACCTCCTACCTGCTGACAGAGATGGCACTGGTGAGGCTTGTCCCCGGTGTGTCTGATCAAGTGGATCTGCAGCGCCCCCTTCTGGTTGAAGGCTTTAGGACACTCTGGACACTTGTAAGGTCGGTCACCTGGAAATAAAACCATTTGTGTTATCATTAAGATTATTACATTGTACATGTAGTATTTCTAACATACTTTCCTACATACATATATAACACAATAGAAAGGACAAGGACACAACTTCTAGTGAGGAATGCCAGGGATTGAACCCACAACCTTCTGATCTCATATCTACTAGACTAGCCACTCAGCAATTCCAAACTATAAAATTAATTTTGACATAATTAACACAGTACCTGTGTGAATTCTGTTATGACGCTCCAGTTGGCTGGGTTTCTGGAAGGTTTTGCCACAGGAGTCACATTTATTGATGAAGGATGAGCGGTCCAGGTTTTTCCGGTGATTCCGCGGCGTCAATAGTGTAGTCCTGAATGGATAAATACAGAATCTCTTATTCATCTCTTATTCAACTCTTTCCCTGTGATTACATCTTTGTAACTTAGTGTACTTGATGTACATGTAGTTTGCTGTTAAAAAATTCAAAATGACGCAAAAGACATATTCACATTAAATCATACTTTTATATCTTGTATCATATTCCAGTTACAAAATCAAGAAGGGTCATGCAAACTCAACTTAGGCCACACCAATTTAATTTGTTGGTTCTCGGATTTACCTCTTCATTTTTTTCTGATTTGCCAAAAAAAAAAAGATACTGGTTCTGAATCAAGTCAAAAATGCTCATATTTTGCCCCCAACAGTTCAGGAAAGTCCTTTAATTTCGTCCTAGTTGTTACAGTTTTTCCATCTATCAATGCAGTGGTTTGATTAAAAGTTCAAAATTCATTGTTTGAATATTAACCCAGCCTTTTGTGTTGACTTCATGGCTCCTATCATAGCATTTGGGACTATAATAGGATGCCTAAACCTGTTTTTTTCTTTTCATTCTTTTCGCCCTGTCGCTTCATATTTTTCCTGAAAAAATCCGAAAACCAACAAGTTAAATTGGTGTGGCCTCAGCCGGTTGACTATGTGACTATACACAGAACAGGACTGTACTGACTTGGCCTTGTAGTGTTGTCTCATGTGGTTCTGCAGGGAGGATGCAGAGTCAAAGTCCTTGGTGCAGACCTTACAGGGGAAGTTCCTCGGCCCGGAGGCTTCGTCTGTATGGTCCTGCATGTGCCGGTCTAACTGACTCTGCAGGCTGAACTCCTCACCACACTCCTGGCAGATTAGTGTCTGGAAAAACAAAGAAAATAATAAATAAACTAGAGTTCCACGACCTCCCTGGACCTTGACGAATGTTGACGAATTTAAAATGATTTTCATTAATAATGAAAACAAGATCTGAAGATCCCCATTTGCATGAATTATATCAGTTGATCATTTTGTTCAACTAATGACCATCTTGTCTTATGAAAAAGGGCTAATCTAGAATTTCTTCATAAATTATGCAAATGAGGTCCTGATTTGAATATGTTATTTTTAGTGATGTCCGTCTTCATTTACTACTAGTAACTTAAAAACTCACAAGTATGAGATTCCCTGCAGTTACTATGGAATTATACAGGATATCTTTTTGCTGTTATGTGAAGGCCTAATTATGTAAATTAGGCCTTCATTTGCATTTAGTAACGAATATCTGCCAATGTTCTTCACAATTACACATGCCATATGTTTGAATAATCAGATCATGGAAGGTAGCAGATTTATAACATTTCCTCCTTGATTATGCTAATTAGTGCTAAATTTGCATACCTATCATCTTAATATGTCAAGTATTTTTAAGCTACCCACATACCAAAAATCATGATGATCTGTCAACAGTATGACCTTATCTAATTTTCTAAACCTACCTCTTCCTTCTCATGCAGCATGATGTGAGACTTGAGACTGGCCACGCGGGAGAACTTCTTCCCACAGTCAGGGCAGGTGGGGGTGTCCGTGTTGTGGATGGCCGCGTGCAGCATCAGGTTGTACTCCACGTTGAACGACAGCGAGCACTCGGTGCAGCGGAACGGCTTGTCGTCCGCGTGCTCCCGCAGGTGGCGCTGGTACGGCGCCCACTTGGTGAACTCCCTGCCGCACACCTCGCATTTGTGGGGTGGTTGTTCTCCGCTGGTGGGAGGCCCCAACACTGCGGTGTCCCCATCTCCTGTACATGGTAGTGGATACAATATGCTCAAGATACAGCTGAGCTTACAGAGAATTTCAACTTGTTTGCCTGTTTAGAGCTCAAAATTAAAGGTGTGTAACAGTGGGGGGTTTATAGGCGCTACCAACTGGCCCGGCCGACGGGTCTAGACCTTTTCGGCCGAGCGGTTAGAGCGTCTGACTGGTGCCCGGGAGGTTGTGGGCTCAAACCCCGGGACCAGTGGGTTTTTATCTGTTTCTACTAGTACTGGCCCCTCCTGTTTCTTACAGGTGGTCCAATTTCCACTGACCAGTAAAATTTAGGCCGGGACAACTAAAAAGACATTTGGGGAAATTTTTGGGACAATAGAAAAGTAATCAACATCAGAATGTCAGCCCTTCTTTTGTTTATCAGGCACACGTCCCGGCTTTTGGATATGTAAAAGTCCCCACAAATTTCCTGTCTACTCTGCAATTATACTTATAGTGCATCTGGGAGTGAACATAAGCAAACTAAAGTTGACTTCAGTTGAACTTGAAGTCATAAAATATCTCCAACCAAAACAGGCTGAGACAGTTCATCCTCACTTCAGGAAAATCAAAATTTATATTTGGGACAGTGCACGGGCTGGGACAATAGGAAGAATAGTTAATGTTGAGGCCTGCTGTTGTTTGCTTGTGTGTACATGCGTGTAGGCCACATTTACTTAATTTTATGGATGACATCCTCTGTAGAGACTCTCAAACTAGTGTGCGCCTGCGATTAAAAAAAATTCCAGCCGAAACCATCAAATGCAGTTAAACAACAGAAATACATGTACAAATTTGCGGTAGCAGTAATGGTGTGATTATTTTTATGTCAAGCCAGCACCTGCATTGCTGGCCTTTATGAGTCAGCATCATACCGAGATCTTGAGTCTGTGGTGCTTCAGCTAGCAGCCTGGGTGCCATCTTTCGTAGTTACCACTCATTACTGACTAGCTACAATCATGCTACAATGTACCACAGGGGTGATTTTAAAATTTTTTATTTGTTGAGAACAGGTGAAAATCAATGCGTGTACAGATGTCATCCATGAAATTAAATCAGTATGGCCTTATTTCAATACTGAAGCGTCACTCTTCATTTCATTATCATTAGTGTAGCATTGTGAAGAGGGGTTTTCCGTAAACCCTTGTGAAGAGTGTGAGTGAGCTCTAATGTAAGATGATAAATTAATTCATTATAATGACAAGACATATTATTATATAAACATTACGTTGACAATGTTGAATGTATCTTTATTCTCTGACAAAAATTGCAGCACCCAATGCAAAATTATGCAGTACTGCCAGTAGCATAATGTTGAATTATCATATTTCTGGCAGTGATTCACTGTTACAAATATGCTCTTCACGAACATTTGCAATCATTTATAGAAGGGTAAAATCATACTTCAGCAACGCAGGGCAAAGTAGGTCAAGTGTCAACATAGGGCCAGGGACGACCTGAGCAGGTCGGGCTCAACTGGAACAAATTATTTCCCTCAGTCTGGGACAATAAAAAAAATCACACGCCATTCGGGCATCTGTCAAAATAACTCACAGTCACATAGAATTTCTAATGCACATCAATCAATGCGAGGTAGCTAGTCTTGAAAATTAGAGAATAAGAACTCGAGATCACAGTTCGGATAACGTTATGAGCGGTTTAGCGTCGTTTCGCGCAGCGGGTAACGGCTCTATCACTGGAGGACAGGCGAGGGATTCACCACCGTGAATTTCCTTGTACCAAAAAAAAAATGGCTGCTAGGAAAAACTCGAGGTCAACCCACGCCGACCCCACGTTTCATCGATCCTGTCTAAGCGAGGTTTTTGGAGCGGAAAATTGCAGTTTTGAGCACTAATTTCTCTCCTAAGGTGGTCTGGAGATCTTGTAGCCGGTTCTGTGAACTGTTTGCTGCTGCACAACCCCAAACTGTGGCCTGCGTGGTGACGACAGCCAGGTATCATTCCGCTCCGGCATATAAACGCACGCATACCCGCATCGGACCCCTTTTCAAACGGGACATGTGTCGGTATTTTGGACAGTTAGGACGATTTCCTACGCAAGGAATGCTGGCAGGATAAGTAAAGAAAATTATCTATGGCCTACCTTGGGTTGGAGCGGCGGCTGGACGTATTTTTGGTGGTCTTCCGCGCGGCATTTGGCGGTACTTTCAGTGCAACAACATAAACCAAGATGGCGGTAAACAGGATTCGGCTTCGGTTGTCTCAGAACGAGGCTGCCATCATTGCCCTGAAAGGAGACCGCACCACAACGCAATGAGAAATATGGATCCGAATAAAATAACAAAAGATCAATCAAACAACAAAACTACTTCAAAACTATAAAATTGGTCTAAACAAACAATACTAATATTTTATATGCCTCAATATTTTATCATTGGCCATACGATCGTCAAATACTTTGCCTGTTTTCATTCCGTGTTGATGCGAGCTGTCATTTGAATTTTTGAAGATCGTGGCGGGAAGTGTCATATTTCAACCACTCTTCACCGGGGCCCCTTTTCAATGATGCAATATTGAAACGGCCATATAGCCACAAATAAAATAAAGATAGTCACTCAAAACACAATCCGAGATGTAGCATGCGACATTTTCTCAAATTTTATGTCTGAGAGCCAGCACCTCAAAATTTTCACGGTACAAATTAGTTTGAAAGCAAACTAATTATTTGTACCGTGAAAAGACGACTCAGCCATCTTAGAAACGAAGAAAGAAAGATTGGAAGAAAAAGAGAGAAAAGAGAGAGGGAGAGATAGATAGATAACGTTTTAATATAATAGTTAGATACTTATATATAGATGGATAGATATATGCCATAGATAGATCAAATTTTCATCACGACCAGTTCTTTATCAATACCTTGAGTTCTTAACTTGTTACCAGTCCATACATAGTAAGTTATAAGTATTTTTGAAAGCAAACCGTTTCTGTCAAGTTGACAAGGCTTGTTGGCATATTTGTAACGCATACGCACATCAAATGACAATTTTTAGAGCCGTCACATCATCTCTCACATGTGAACAAAAAGAAGAAGAGAAGTTGGTGAATAAAACACTGAGCGTAACGTTATATATATTTTCTCGGGAAGTCACTTCTTCCCGGATAAGGTTTGATCATTTCAAATCATTCATCTTCACAAGAAGGTTAAAAGATTCTACCAAGGAGGTTAGAAATCTTCTTCCCTACTTTTTTGGCCATCAAGAAAGGATCAGAAAGTTCTGAACCAACGGACAAGGACCACCCCACACACTACAACGCTCCAATATTTCCCAGCAAGCTTTGCGTCAGAAGCAATCACAAGGCCATCGCTTGCCCGAGCCAGCCGAGCCAAAACCAAGCGGCAAAGATGGCGCAATCCTTATTTGACGCGCTAACAGGTAAGTTTTTACCAATCTCCTTCGATTCCCCAGTAAAATGTGTTCCTTACGATCATATATTTACGCTTTATGGCAGGTCTTGGGAGCACGGAAAGTGCCCTTGGCAAAAACCCCCATTCCAAGGGGGTGCTGGCACAGCCAACAAAATGGCGATCAAATTTCTCCTTTGTCTACCTCTGCTTCTATTTGCACTTTACTACTGCAACGATCCCGCTCTAAGTTGAATATATAAGTTTAAGTTGGACAATTGGTTGCTTGGGAGGCCGTAGAAAGGCGGTTGGTGAGGATTTGTTAGACATAAAGGTCGCTGTTGGGCCGAGAACAGCCGGGTGTGGCCGTTAATTAGAAAAGCGTCTTTCTTTCGCCGTCCAATCGGAGTTCCGTCCGCAAAACTTTCACGAAAATCAAAGACTTGTCACCCTTCTTCACTTCCCTAAGGTTGTATTACACCAGAGGTTATCGGCAGACGTAACTAATGGCAATTTCTTTGGTTTGGGAAGAACTGAAAAGCTGTTCCTGTTTTTTGAACAAGATGGCTGACGCAGGTCCATCATTCCTGTTTACGGATCAGTCCATTGGCCGAAATTCACGGGGGTGTCAACATACTCTAGTCTAGAAACGCTGCACAACCAAGGAACTTTGAATGGCCTTAGCTCAATAACTGAGCACTTTCAGCATGATTTGTCCAGTACTACTTAAGATGAGATAAATTAACACCAAATACATTTTAGGTAAATCTGCTTGATTTAATGTATTGCATTGTCGTTGTCACTTTTCTGAATTTAGTTTAGGGCATTGACATTGCATGCCGCATGCAATGGTACTAGTACCATTAATGTTGTTATATTCACAGTATGTTTTTCTTTTTCATTTTTTGTGCTGTACTTTTTTCTGTGAAATTATGACACACCAAACGTGTTTCCCTGTTTTAAGTTGTGTATATTACTACCATATCCTACCAAAAAGATTCCTGTCCCCTCCTATTGCAAAATTGAGGCCTGCCTTACTGTTACACATAACTTTTTCAAGTAGACTAGAACTCAAGACGATATGAGCTAGTCGATTTGAGCGAAAATTTTCCTGTGTAAAGAGAAATAATTCAACTCAAGTCACATTCTAATAAAGACGCTTGAGTCATATCCAAACCAGACTGGCCATGGGGGTGCTGAGTCCGCGTGTGTAAACGGGCGAAGTCGACTTGAGCGTCTCTGCATAGTAGTCAGGCAAGACCGAGCCACCAAGTCGACTTGGGGGGAGGGTGGTACAGCGGGAGTGCCAAGTCACTTTGCGGCCCCGTGTGTAAACAGAAATTTTTCAAGTCGACTTAGAAATGGTGTGTGTAAAGCGGGCCTACAATGTCTCAGCAAAAATAAAGGCAGTTACCGTCCTCACCATGTACTTGTATTTATCTTGCAGTGACGATGGACAACCAGACGGCGCTGGCTGTCCAGTCTCTCCTGGACTCCCAGCAGGGCCAGGTGGCTGAACCTGCTGCAGGACCAGGTAATGGCACCACCTGTCTGATGAACTGTAAACTACATCTCTCCTGACACTTTTTTCAGATATACATGTACATTGTACATGTATTTGATTTATTATTTACACTGCAGTAATTTGTATCAACTGTATATGTACTTTTAGTTTTATATTGGAGGGCACTTTTTTGTCCTGCCTACCTACCTTTTTGTACCTTTATATCATCTAAAACCAGCAGTGCACATTGACCATCTGGACTTGAAAAATGTTTAGGTTCAAGTCCAAAAAAACCTAAAAGTCAAGAACTGATTCTGGACTCATTAAAAAAAAACATATCACATACCTCTTTTCTTTCCGAACAATCTAAAACCTTCCATGGTAGATTGCAAAATCTGTGCTGCAAAATGAAAAAAAACATTGCCATCGGGCATCGTCAAGTGTCAGCCTCCATGTTATTTGGCCAAAGTTGTGCCCAAACGAAATGGCAAGGTTGCCAACATGCCATTATGTATATGCCGTGGGTTTAGGTCCAGACTTCTGAGTCTGGAACTGAACCTAAACCTCTGGACTTGAATCCGGACCTAAACCTAAATGTGGGTTTACTAGTACACAGCACTAGTCATTTGTATCAACTGTATATGTAGTGTGTATTATATTGGAGGGCACTTTTTTTGTACATTTATACTATCTATAACCAGCAGTGCACAATGACCAGACAGTGTTTTTGTTGCAGGTGATGATGAAGACGTGTTCCAGTGTGGGAAGTGTAAGAAACAGTTCACCAGCCTGCCCACCTTCATGAGCCACAAGCGGGAACACTGCCAGCCCATGCCCCCGCAACAGCCTGTACGCCAGGTCTGTACATGTATAATGGTGCACACACCAATTTTTCCATGACAGGGGTCCGTGGTAGTGTGTGGTAAAAAGGGGTTTCAATGGTTCATGTTTGAGTTCACATTTCTCATAATCTGCTGCACTGGTTTATGGCTGGAAAGTGTAAGAAGTGGTGTGTTTTGGGTGAAAATTGATCTCGGGGCCTGAGGCTTACAATGTATTTCCGGGTGTCCTTCCACCTTAAGTGCAGTGCTTTGGTTTGACCCAGATATGCATTTTATGCGTTCTGGCTGGGGGTGCTGTTGCTATGCCTCACGTGACGGGCTATTGTGTTAATCTCAGTGTTAGGATTTTCTCTATACTTTCCTTGATACACATGAAATACATTAAGTTTCCGACAGAATGAGTCATTTTGGTGGCTAAATTATGGGTGATGAGTTGAATTGCATGTGAAAATGGCCGATTTTCGGCATCATTTTTCATAAAAAAATTATTTTTACCCCTAAAATTGACTAAAATCTGAGAGGTTAAAGAAATTGAAATTCTATATTGTTCTCGTAGCTAGAGTTCATTTGCAAACACAGTGTTTTAGCTTAAGAATTATTTCCTGAATGCAGATTTAGTGCAGGTAAAATTGGAGCTGTGCAGGTATTTCTGATGTCTACCTGCACCTAACCTGCACTTGCCACGTCCCCCATGTACTGTTTTTTTAGATATACATGTATATACGTAATGATATACATATAATATTTACCTTTTTTTTATCACACAGGTGGTTCCTCCCCCAGGGTCCAACCCTAACCAGAGCGCCTTCACGACGTCCCTCCCCCACCACGGGCTGAACAGGCAGCCTGTCAGCATGGTCAGCAACATGGTAAGGGTACTTAGCTTGAATGGGGAACAATAAAACTGTCATTAGGCCACAGCAGGTAAATTTTATGGATGACATCCTCCGCAGACTCCAAATCTAATGCGAGCGGCCAAAAAAAAAACAAGGTGGGCCAAAAAAAAAACAAGGTTCCTAGATTTTAAAATTTTGACTCAATCATTGTACAAAATTATTACAAATGGTTTTGATTCAGTAGGAATATCACATATACATAGCCAGCATCGCATATCACTGCATCAAAGTATTAGAAACAAAACATTAATTCAGAGCCTTTTCTTGTCTCCTCTCTTGAGCTATCTGCCATCCACGTTCCGGCATGGCAACAGACACCTTTGCCCATTTTTGGCATGTTGACCACTGTCAGAAGGCAACAAAATTTCTTGTTTTTTTCCAAAATCAGGCGAAAATTAATGTGCGTGCTGATGTGGCCTTAGCTTGAAAGGGGAACAACAAAACCCGTCATTATATCACATTTGGTATTTCTGAAAAGTGGCATCCTATACTTAGTTTGCTAGTCAATCTTGTTTAGAGCACTGCCAGCTGTTTGAAGTTGCGACTAGCACCTAGCGTCGACAAATTGGCCACTGCCATTTTCCTACTCCCCACTGCTGCAATGACCTAACCATGGGGGACACTGACAGGAAGTTAGGTCAAAGGTCCCAAAAAGGTTATCTAATTTCCTGTTTTCAAACTTGGAACTGTACCTTTCAGACTCCTGTGCCGGCGGTGGCAGCGGCTTACAGCGCAGTGCCCCCCTCCCCCCTGGCGCACATGAGCCAGAACATGGTGCTGAACGCTGATGAGATCCTGATGACCACCCTGTCCAGTATGGACCAGACCATGACCATCCAGACCAGTCCCAACCAGTCCATGCACAGCGGCAACGTCCAGGTGTCTGGACCCTTCATGCAGGCTCAGGTCAGGAGAACGGATCAAACTATTGGTCTTTGATAGTCTGATATGTATAGAGCAATCCCTCTCCTAATCTCCAAGCACATCTTTTTGTGGCTACAAAGACAGAATGAAATTGGCCAGGCTGTATCCATTGACCAGGTACATAGTTACCATTTTGCCACCAAAAGATCTGCTTGGAAATTATCCCTCTTCCTCTTCAGGATCAAAAGGTTTGGATTTCAACTTCTAGTCTCAGCCTAGATGTTGACATGGAACCCATAATATAAAAAGTTATACAAACATTGTACTTTGAGCTTGTGATAGAGACCACTACACGTAAACTGTTCAACTTACTACATGTGTTCTTTCATCCTGTACGTCATTGGTTCATAGTTGCTGTAACATACCTGCTGTTCCCCCAGGTAGCCCCACCCCGCCCCATGCCGACCACCAGTATGCAGGGGATGAACAATGTAAACACTGCTGTCCTGACCACCACCATCCCAGGACAGACCTTCCAGGTACTCAGAGATCCTACTTTAGTACCTGAAGTAGTGCCATTACAATGTATAAGGTCAATGACCTGAACCAGACGTCTGTCACCTTGGTAGCTAGTGTTGGATTACATGTACGTCATGTTGCAATTTTATAGCAGGAGGGATTTAGACTCCTGTCACCATATAATATTATATGAATGTGTTTGAGCAAGAATTAACAGAGCAGACTACATGCGAAGGTAAACAATTTTGCCGCTCATGACAGCCAAAATTTGCCCAATCCGTCATATTTGTCGGACAAAAATCCATGCATGTAAACTGTAAAGTTTATGGGCAGATTCATTGCTATAGTACTTTTCTTTAGAAATGAAAAGTAGTTTTTGTTGACATTCTATTTTTATTTTATCTTATATGGTGCATCCAAAAATTTTTTGTGCACCCAATTTTGTAGGTTGGCGCACCTATTCCCAAAAAATGAATTTCGAGCCCTGTAGTAGTACCTTTATCTTGTAGTCACACTCACAGCATGTCTCGTGCGATCTGTTGGTGCACAGGTACAACCAGTGACAGTCCGCGTTGCAGAGCCTCAACAACAACAACAACAACAGGTCATGATGCCACAGCAGCCCGTACCCATGCGAGCGTCGCCCGCGAAAAACCCCCAACAAGCTCCCAACAACAACAACATCAACATCATCACCGACGTACAGATCCAGAACGTCACGCAGGCCGCCGCGCCCAAACGACGCGCCAAGTCGGGCGGGGGCAACCAGGGCGCGGGGAAGAAGCAGGGGAAGTTGAAGTGCACTTACTGCGACAAGATGTTCTCCAAGAACTTTGACCTGCAGCAGCACATCCGCAGCCACACGGGAGAGAAGCCCTTCCAGTGTATCGTCTGCGGGCGGGCGTTTGCACAAAAGTCTAACGTGAAGAAACACATGCAAACACACAAGGTAGACACTAGTTTTCTAGTCGCTGTATTCTTCAATTTCCAAAATACAGGGACCAGATGGATGTTACAGTGGTGGGGTCGAATTACATTATGTAGCAAGTGGCAGGGCAGAGTTAGAGGGCTAAGAGGGATCTGGCGAATATACATACTTTCCTAAGATAACTGAGATAAACCGGATAGTGAGTGAGTGAGTGTCAGTGTAAAAGCGTAAATTCATTTACTTTCGGTTTGGTTTTACTTTGTGCTCGAAGGGAAAGGGACGGGCTCAGAGTATGTGTTTAAATATTGTTAACAGTTATACCAGGGTACTAAGTACTTTTATCTTTTTGACCTGTACTGTATTCCCCAGATTTTTTTGCTTCCAAGTATACACATTCAAGATAATACAGGGCTTAAAAGTGCACCCAAATTTAGAGCTGTGCACCCAATTTTTTTTGCACCCAAATTTTTTCATAGGTTTATGTATGTAAAAAGTGTCAGAAAAATAATAAAATCATTGTTATGGTACATTTCTTTAGAAATGAAACAATTACTTTTTACTGACTTCTACTTATTCCATCTTATATGGTGCACCTATTCAGAAAAAATGAATTTTGAGCCCTGTAATACTATCTGTTCTGTCAATTTGTCTTTAGGTGTGGCCTTCAGGCACAGCCTGTACCCTCCCCAAGAACCCCATCATCGTGGAGAAGGCCGTGGAGGATCAGAACGGGGAGTCTGTGGTGGATACTGCAGAGGACGTTGGGAACACCCACCCAGAACAAGGTAAGTTCCAGTGGTGCATGGGAACTGTACATCGGGTATAGGGTGAGAAACAGACTTCTCTGCGTATGAGGGAGCTTTGTGGGCATAAGCCTCAAGAGCCAAACCTCTGGATGTAAAAGAACCCAGCACACTGAAGAAAAGTAGCGAAGCTGTAGCAAAGATGCTTGTACTATAGCTACTAGAAAAAGCATAGCGCTCAGTTCACCTCAGTTGAGGATGACTTCACTTTTAAATTTTACTTTATTTATCTAACCAGTAATTACAGCTTTTCAGGTAATCCCGGATGTACATAAAAGTACACACAACAAATACACAGTACATAAACAATTAGTAAATACAACATCCTAAACATCAACTAGATCAAGTTCTGTTCCTAATGATCTGTTTAAAAGTCCTGAGGCTAAGGAGTTGTCATTGATGTAGCGGAAGAGTGTTCCACAGGTAACGACCATAGTACTGTAGACTGCTCCGGTACACAGTGACTCTTGCTGGTGGACAGAAGAGTAGGTGAGGGTCGTAGTCCCTAAGACGCTTTAACTTGACTCAGCTGTACCTAAATTTTCTACACACACAGTGGAGAAAGGAGGTGGAGACATGGGTGCCGACAATTCCAAGGACAGCGACCATTCCAAAGATGGGACAGCAGACCCCGATGAGATCAAAGTCATCATCAACAACTCGTACCAGTGCCACTACTGCCAGGCCACCTTCAAGACCTACTTCCAGCTGAAATCCCACATGACAGAACACAAGAACCAGCAGGTGGGGATTTCAACAGTACAGTCTACATGATTTTGAAAATAAAAACAAGACATTTTGTTGCCTTCTGACAGTGGTCAACATGCCGAAAACGGGCAAAGATGTCTGTTGCCATGCCGGAACATGTATAGTAGAGAACATGTATCAATTTGAAGAGAGGAGATAAGGCTCTGATTTATTCTCTTGTCTTTTACTTTGATGCAGTGAAGGATTGCATTCCTTTTTCTATGTGATGGTGGCTGTGTATGTGTGATATCCCCACTAAATCAAAACCATCTGTACAATGATTGAAAACTTGTTTTTCAAAGTTGTCTCAGTGACAAAATTAATGGTTGTTATAATAGTTGTCAGTAAGGCCACACCAATTTAATTTCTTGGTTAACGGATTCGCCGCTTCATTTTTTTCTGATTTGCAAATAAAAATAAAAATTTAGAATCAACTGCAAACTACTCATATTTTGCCCTGAACAGTTGAAAACAGTCCTTTTCATCCTAGTTGTTACAGTTATTCCATCTTTTAATGCAATGGTATCATTAAAAGTTCAAAATTTACTGTTTAAATTTTGAACGAGCATGGTGTGTTGACTTCATGGCTCCTATCATACCATTTTGGGCCATAATAGGATGCCTAGGCCTGTTTTTATTTTTATTTTTTTTTCGCCCGCCCGCTCCATTATTTTTCTTGAAAAATCCGTTAACCAAGAAATTAAATTGGTGTGGCCTAAACTTACCCAATAAATGTACAATTTTCTTGTTCAAAAAAGTTTATGATGTCAAAATTTGAAAAAAAAGTACAATCTACATGTATCTGTAAGTGTCCCAATACATGGACCAGATGGCTGTCACCATGGTAACTGTAGTATGATCGAGAGAGGTTATTGAATTGATTTAAGGGATCTGAGTATACACACACATTTTCCTAAGCTAACTTAGATGTTTTTACCCATCCATAGGTTTACAAGTGTATCACTAAGTCCTGTGGCAGCATGTTCCATGACCTGGAGGCATTCCTGGAGCACACCAAGTCTCACGAGGAGGAGATGACCTATCGCTGCCACATGTGTAACAAACAGTTCCCTTCTCTGTACGAGCTGGGTGTCCACCAGTACTCCCACAGTCTCTACCCCAACCAGGGGCCACGTCCAGGACCCAGGTACATTCTTATTATGTTTACCGAAGGAAAACATATTGTTATGGCTTCACCACACCACAAAGTGGGTTTTGGTGAAACATATTGCTTTCTCTCATGTTTCTTCTTCTCCTCCTTTTCCTGTCATTTCGCTAAATGGATTCAATTTCTTCATTTTTGGGCCAAATGACATCAAATTTGGCTCCCGAGCAAATGTTGGCCATTCTTGTTTTTGCTCTGTTTCCTCTTCTTCTCCAAACCAATAAGGTCAATGACCTGAACCAGACGTCTGTCACCATGGTAACTAGTGTTGGGTTACATCATGTTGCAATTTTATAGCAGGAGGGATTTAGACTCCTGTCTGTCGTGACCATATATGTGAATGTGTTTGTGTTAGAATTAACTTCAAGCTTGTCTTGTAGTGTGAAAATCAATGCACGTGTTTTAAATTTGGAAAAATATATATTTGTACATTTGTATTGTACAGGTACTTCCGTTGTCCTAAGTGCATGAACAAGTACGCATCCCCCGAAGCGCTAGACCACCATCTGGCCACGTCCAGCCACAACTACTCCTGCCCGCACTGTGAGAAGGTGTTCCCCTGCGAGCGGTACCTCCGCCGCCACCTCCCCACGCACGGCACCATGGGAGATCACGTCTGCAACGTGTGCGAGAAGCGGTTCAAGACGGAGCACTACCTGAAGATGCACGTGCTCATCCACACCGGCGAGAAACCCTACAGGTGTGTGTCGTTCTTTATAATTATGTCAACCTTCGCAGAAGGAAAACATATAGTTTTTGCTCTGTTTCTTCTTGCTCTTCTTCTTCCTCTTTTTCTTCTCCAAACAAATAAGGTCAATGACCTGAACCAGACGTCTGTCACCATGGTAATGAGTGTTGCATTTGTTGCAATTTTGTAGTAGGAGGGATTTAGACTCCTGTCTGACTCGAAAGCTCCCCAGTGTAGCTGAACTTTTGTTGTGTGTTGCCATATATAAATATTTTGTCAAAACCATTGCCACCACAGCTGCTCACAGTGCAACGCGACCTTCAACCGAAAGGACAAGCTGAAACGTCACATGCTCATCCACGACCCGGTGAAGAAGTACAAGTGTCCGTTCAAGACCCACACGGGGTGCACCAAGGAGTTCAACCGGCCCGACAAGCTGAAGGCTCACATCATCTCCCACTCAGGCATCAAGCCCTTCAAGTGTAAAGACTGTGGCAAGTCCTTCAGCAGAAAACCACACTTACAGGTGGGCAACCTTGCTTGTCAGTTTCTCTGATGTTTTGCAGTACTACGAGAGATGGATGAGAGATAACTTGGCAGAGTCCATTTTGCATGCTTTTTCTTTCAAGAGTTTGTTCCTAGAAATCCTAATGACAAAGACTTAATTGTGTTGAGTGAGTTCAACATTTTTTGGGCTGGAAATTGCAGTTCAAACCTGTTTCAGATCCAACCAGGGCTTGAAATTAAGTTTTCCTCTTAATCTTATTGTCCCAGCACTGACCCAAAAAGCACTGACCCGAGGTTGAACTGTCCGAACCTGTTCTTTGGGAAGTATGTATGATGACAACAAGTTGAAGTCAACTTTATTTTCCTTACATTCTGATGTCCATGTGCGCTATCTAGACAAGAAATTTGGGGGGGCTTTTCTGAGCCAAAAGGCGGGACACGTGCCTGATCGACAAAAATAGGGCTGACATTCTGATGTTATTTTTCTATTGTCCCAAAAGTGACTTTTCAGTTGTCCTAGCCTGAATGTTTGTGGTCTGTGGCCATTGGGACACTGTTAATTTCGAACTTTCATACTAAATGTCTCTTGTTTGTTCATTCATTCAGGAGCACGAGCGCATGCACTCGGACAACTACCCCATCCGCTGCAACACCTGCAGGAAAGGTTTCGCACGCGAGAAGTACCTCCGCGACCACCGCTGTCGACCCGAGGGTAGCGAGGACGACGTGGTCGTCTCGAAAAGCAAGCACGGCCGTACGCGGAAGCTCACGGCCGCCATGAAGGAGGCGGTTGGAAATCGGAGAAAAAGGGGTGTGGGTCGCCCGCGGAAAAACCACAGCTCGAAAAACGGAGACGCCAACACAGACTTAGACATCATCAAAGCTCACTTGCAAAGCGAAGGAGGGGGCGATGCCTGCCAGAGCGCCGTACGAAACGAAACGGAAGGCGTAGAAGGAAACGTCCCGCTACAACAGATCCAAACGAACCAACAGACCGCGAACTCTCAGCCCGACGCAGGCGACGCACACCTTCAGGAAACCGTAGTGCCCTCAGGGATAGGGATATCTACACCGTCGGGGATGGTGCAGACTTTTGTGGCGAGCGACAATAGTGTGGTGCAGATCAACATGGGGGGTGCGGAGGTGCTACAACCCACACAAGCCTTCATCGTCACACACCTGAACTTGGCACCCGGGGAGGACGGTGTGTTAGAGGCCACCAATCAATGCTAGTAGTCCGTGAATAGTTTCATCTGGCCACACCAATTTAATTTGTTGTTTCTTGAATATTTAAAAAAAAATGAAGCGACAAGGAAAAAAAAAAACAGGCCAAGGCACCCCATGAAGGCCTGAAATGTTACAATATGAGCCATGAAGTCAACATACCAGGCTGGTTTATAATTAAAACAATAGATTTTGAACTTTTAATAAAACAAAGTTGCATTGTTACATTGAAAAACTTTAACAACTAGGAAGAAAAGGACTTTCTTCAACCGTTGGGGCCAAAATATGTCTTTCATTGAGCATTTTGCAGTTGATTCAGAACTCAAAATCTTTTTTTTTGCAAATCACAAAAAAATGGATAGGGCAAATCCGAGAAGCAACAAATTAAATTGGTGTGGCCTCAGGTTGGTAAGTCACTGAGTAAAGAGACTCTTTTTACACAACCGAGTCTTTTATTCAGCCGGCGTTTCGGTGACCGTCTGTCACCTTCCTCAAGGCAATTCTGACTGGTTCACATTGTACAGCACAGGTGTCGCTGCTACAGATGCATTCCCAGGAAGATGACAGACAGTCACCAAAACGTCGGCAGAGTAAAAGACTTGGTTGTGTAAAAAGAGTCTCTTTACTCAATGCTAGGTGTGTATGAATACTCTGTATATAAAAAAAGACTTTGTTGCTGGAGTTGTATGTATAAAGTTGTGTCACAACTTAGAAGTTTTGAATTATCAATCATGTACAGGAGGTAATTGTGCCATTGACTTAGTGATGACATTTGTGTCGTTTGTAGACCCTGGGGAATTTTACAATGTACAATATTTGCCAAATCCCGAATGTGTACATAAGGCCATACCAATTTAATTTGTTGGTTCTCGGATTTTTGTAGAAAAAATATGAAGCGACGGCGAAAAATAAAAAACAGGTCTAAGCATCCTATTAATTATAGCCCCAAACACAACGATTGGAGCCATGAAGTCAGCACAACAGGCTGGGTTAATATTTGAACAATGAATATTGAACTTTTAATCAAACCAATGTATTGATAGATGGAAAAACTGTAACAACTAGAAAGAAAAATATGAGCATTTTTTAGTTGATTCAGAACTAGAATCTTTTTTTTTGCAAATCAGAAAAAAATAAAGAGGCAAATCCGAGAACCAACAAATTGAATTGGTGTGGCCTTATTTGCCAAATCCTGAATGTGTACATAATGTATACACACTGGGTAACTGCCAGATGGCCAATTTTTAATTGCATTTTTTCTACTGTTTGTTGCACTGTTTTTTTTTACTAAGTTGTAAACTAGGATCACAGTGGGCCAAACCAAGTAGTAATACAGTCCATATAATGATCTAAAAATAATAAAAAAACAGCTGAATCTACATTTCAGAAGATGTTATTGAAGTTTTCCTTTATTCATGGAGGAAGCTTGTCCAGAATCCTCACAGAAGGTTATGTTTAGTGCTGTGTACCAGTTCGCTGGACCGGTTCTGGAAAATGTTTAGGTTCAATTTAAAAAAAAAACCCTAAAAGTCAAGAACCAATTCCGGACTTATTACAAAAAAAAAAAAAAGCATGTCACATACCCCTTTTCTTTCCAAACCACCTAAAACCTTCCATAGATTGCAAAATCTATGCTGCAAAATGAAGAAAACATTGCCATTGGGCATCGTCAAGTGTCGGCCACAGTTTTGCCCATACAACATTGCAAGGTTGCAAGCAATTTTGTATATGCCATGGGTTTAGGTCCGGACTTACGAGTCTGGAACTGAACCTAAACCTCTGGACTTGAATCTGGACCTGAACCTAAATGTGGGTTTAGGTACTAAAAGTACACAGCACTAAACATGTTTAACATTGATTTGTATTCTGTGTAACTGACTTGACATCCATTGACCTACATCTGTATAGCTTACATGTCTTTTGATTTTGGTAAAATCAAGGAAGTTAAAAATCTAAATTTCCTTTTTTTGGTGCATTGAAATGCTGGTTGACTGCAAGATATGGTAATGTAAGAGGGGTTGAAAAAATTGAACTGTTCATTGATATCAAATGTATACAAGAAAACGACACCCAAGACCAATTAAGCTTGACAAGCAAAGTGGTTTATTTTCAATAAATTATATATTTGTAAAACAAAAGAAACTTATATTAGACTTGCGTTATTTAAACCAACTGAATAGTTATACCTGAGGTCTCCCTCATATTCATGTATAACAATCTTATAATCTTATATAAATAACAAAAACAACCTGCTATATAAATAATAAAAACAACTTCCTATATAAATAACAATTTCCTACTTGCAAAATATTCTAAACACAAGTTGTACTCGTACTGGCCTGTTATGTAAACTTCTGGAACATTTCTACTTAAATTTCAAGAAAATTTCTACTTAAATACTGGAACATTTCTACTTAAACGTCTAGAACATATCCTATTTAAACTTCTAGAAGATATTCTACTTAAACTTCTAGAAATTTATACTCAAATGTCTAGAACATTTCTACCTCAACTTCAAGATCATTTCTACTTGTACTTCTATGACATTCCTATTTAAACTTCTGGAAGATTTTAACTTAAACTTCTAAAACATTTCTCCTTAAAACTTTTGGAACATTTCTACTTAAAACTTCTAGAACTTTTATACTTTATACCCCTACTTGACTAAGTATCACTAAACGAAATGAAATTCGTGCGTTGTAGTCAGCTCCAAAAGGGAGGTTTGGACATTATGTTTGTACTAGGTTGCTGTAGGTGTACCCTGGGTGCCAAACTAGTATCGGGCCGTTAGCCGTTTTCCTTCGGTAGCCAAGAGCCCTTCGCCCGCCTATCTAAATTACCGCTACGGGGAGTTGAGCCCGAGGGGAATGGCCAAATTTCCCTCTGGCTAGTTTGGCATCCAGGGTACTGTAGGTGATGTGCCGGTTAGCCGGTTGGTTTGATAGAAGCTGCCCTGAGCAATATTATGTTGAGGTGGCCCCATCACTTCTTCGGAAATCTGCCGCGTTAATGTTATAAAACGCCGCCGGGTTGGGGATTCCTGTGTTGCCGCCTGAACGGTAGGATCTTCCGTAGAGACAACAGAGACTGTCCCCGTGTCGACCTTCTGTTTAGCCTGCAGATAAATGAACGACATGAACAACGTCAGACACTGGATCAGGCCATGTTGATTTGATTATATGGATGACATCAGCGCGCGCATGAATTTTCAACCATACTGTAAATCGTACAAAACAGTCGCAAAATTAAGAAAATATAGACCGCCGTGAGTTAAAAAAAAGATTGGAAAACGATACCAATGTCGTAGAATGCCAAAATCAAACAAAAAAGACGAAAATATGTAAAGAAATGAATTTGAAGAGTAGATTATTCGCCATACCATACTCTGTGTCATTTGTTCAACCTTCATGTCCACGTAGATTTCATAATGAAAGCAACTTTTTTTTTTTCCAAACTTTTTTTATTCTCACGCTCGCATCAGTTTTGGGGTTCCCAGAGGATGTCATCCATATAATCAAATCAACATGGCCTCAAGGGTAACATTCCTGCAAAAACTCCAAGTTTGGACATCGGTATTATGATGATGATTCTCAAGAGGCCGTTACACCATGTTTGTGCGTTTTATCACCCGATGTCATTTGCATCTACGTAGGGTCTGGCTTATGAAAAGATTGCAACGAGTATAAAGATTAATAAGTCCTTCCAAAAGCCCACGAGTAAGGACAAGATAGTTTCGCTGATTCTTATCTGTATCAAACAATGAACGTTTGGGGGTTACTGAGGACAAGGTTAGACATGTTGTTGTATGAGTGTTCAGTAAAATAATCTAGTTGTAAACAAGAAATGTATGTGAAGTAGTTGTGAATATTTTGTTTTACTTGCTGTAAATGTTTGTGCTGATTTTGTGCATATGTCTGTCACTTCCGGATCCTCCCAGCACATTTTGACCTCCAATTTAACCTTCCTGTCAATCTGTGGTTACAGCATTCCCCCTCACTTCCTGTGATTCTGGTGTACTCAAGTGCGGGAATGCTACACTCCGTAGAAAAAATACAATGTTGAGAGCACATGTACAGTATTGCTTTTTATACCTTAGTGACGCTGGTGTGTTTTCTTGCCGTCCACTGCTCTCTACTGAACTGTTGGTGCTGTCAGCCTCGGATGAGACAGCTGCTGCATTGCTGTTGCTGTCCGATGAGACAGCTGCTATCCTCGGGAGGTCCTGCTCCTCCAGGCTTCTCTTGAAGATGATGAGGTCGCTGGTTTGACACTGACGGCTCCACGGAGGCCTGAAGTTTACAGATAAAGATAGCATATGATTAAACCCCTGTCACAAATAGCCGTAAATATAAATGTGGTCTCTCGAACACTGACGAACTCCCCCAACAAAAGGCATCCAATGCGATTTCAGGGCAGCAAAACTGGAAATATTCTGAATAAGGCAATCTTTGTGATGTTGACACATACTGCTTCACATTAGTACATTTGAATCAGTATTTCATACTTTGGGCATTTAAAACTGCATAAACAAGTTCCAAGATGAGTCCTTTATTTTCTGTGTGGTACCCTAAAAATCAACCCAGGCAGCCCTACCTGTAACCATACTTTCCGTCAGAATTTTAGGAATTTTTGCTCCATGTGGGTCAATATAACGTTACATTGGGATAGTGTGCAGATAAATGATCAAAATATTAAATGGTTTCGAAAAATCGGGTTTCCGAGACCTGCACTGGATGCACTCAAATTTAACTCAAATTTGATTCGATTCATATAGAAAGGTAAGATATGGTCTAAATATGGCCAGACTGCTCCTGAACTTCAGCCAACTGCCTTAGTTGGTCGGGGGGAAGATTCTGGTGCTTTAGAAGATACAAGTTTGCCAGTACTATCAGATAGGTCTATACTATCTAAAGGTCACACATTCTCTTCTTTATCTGCTTCTCTAGGTTTATCTCAGGCTTGTAGTACTGTACATGCTGGTGCTGCGGGAAGACATCATGTATCCGCTGTAGAATATGAGTGTCTTCTGTAAGGCTCTGTTGATTTGATTTTATGGAACACATTCGCGCGCGCATGAATTTTCGGCTGTTTCCAATCAAAAAAATTCAACCATAATGTAAACCGTACAAGACAGTTGCAAAATGAGCAAATATATACCGTAGGTTGAAAATATTGGAAAACGATACCAATGTCGTAGAATTCCAAACTCAAACGAAAAAGACGAAAAAAATGAATTTGAAGAGTAGATTATTCGCCAAACCATACTCTGTGTCATTTGTTCAACCTTCAAAACCACGTAGATTACATATAATGAAAGCAATGTTTTTTTAAACTTTTCTTTCATTCGCACGCTCGCATCAGTTTTGGGGTTCCCAGACGATGTCATCCATATAATCAGATCAACATGGCCTAAACCCTATTAAAGATTATATTTCCTGTATTGTTGCCAAATTGTTGATGACGTAATCTGGCGATGACGTAAAGGACGATGAATGACCTTTTCGCGTCCGCCATAAACTGTGTTACGTCACAGCTGTTTTATGGAAGCTGACTTTCAACATAAGGCCACACACAGCAAGTAAGGCCATGTTGATTTGATTATATGGATGACATCCGCGCGCGCATAAATTATTAGCCGTTTCCAAAAAAAAAAGAGAAACGTTTTCAACCATAGTGTAAATCGTACAAAACAGTTGCAAAATGAGAAAATATATACCGTAAGTTGCAATAAAAATATTGGAAAACAATATTAATGTCGTATAATACCAAAATCAAATGAAAAGACGGAAATGTAAAAAAAAATCAATTTGAAGAGTAGAGAAAAGTGCCTTTCCCAAGGGCACAAGATCGGTGACCAGGTGGGGTTCGAATCCGAGACCTCTTGGTTCCGAGCCGAAGATGGCTGCTACCGCGACGCCACACGACCCCACTTTGCTTGTGCGGGGGAAGAAGTTGGAACGTGTGGTATGTGTCTTTGTTCCCTGCGGTGGCAGGTTGTTTATGAGGTGCCGACAGCGCGCACGATAAAGGCACCGTGACCTTCACCCCAGGACCCTACAGTCAGCACTTGTCAGTTAACGGTTTGTCAGCTGTACGTTACGCGGGGTTCTACTAAAGGTATCCAATGCAATTTCAGGGCGGCAAAACTGGAAATATTCTGAATAAGGCAATGTGTATGATATTGACACATACTGTCCCACATTAGCACATTTAAAAAAATCAATATTTCATACTTTAGGCATTTAAAACTGCAGAGGCAAGCTCAAAGATTAGTCCTTTATTTTCTGGGTGGTACCCTAAAATCAGCCCAGGGCCCTCCTAGTAACCATTTTCTGTCGGAATTTGGGAATTTTTGCTCCATGAATGTCAACATACATTGGGACAGTGTTGTTTCAACTTAGATAAGTGTAGATAAGTGACTAAAATATTGTCTTTGAAAAATCTGATTTCCATGCCCTAAAAACTGCACTGGATGCCTTTAAAGGATGGCTTTTGTGTATGGTGACCGTTTTACATCTTGAGTCTGTACGTGGGGTACGTGTAGTACGGATGACACATGACCAGTCACCAGCCCGCACCTGGTTCTCGTCTGTCCGTCTGCGGGACCAGCCGGAAACGGACCACATGACGTAATCTGACGCAACACCAATAAACACTAGGTTTCATTTAGGCCACAGCAAGTAATTTTTATGGATGACATTAATTTTCGCCTGATTTTCGAAAAAAAAAAATTTGTTGCCCTCTGACAGTGGTCAACATGACGAAAATGGGCAAACATATCTGTTGCCATGCCGAAACGTGAAGAAACTATGAAGACAGGAGACAAGAAAAGACTCTGATTTAAAGTTTTGTTTCTTACTTTGATGCAGTGATATGTGATGTTGGCTGTGTATATGTGATGTTCTCACTGAATCAAAGCCATTAGTACAATTATTTTGTTAAAATTTGAGAATGTAGGAACCTTGTTTTTTCGGCCCGCCTTTTTTTCGCCCACTCGCATTAGATTTAGAGTCTGCGGAGGATGTCATCCATAAAATTTACTTGCAGTGGCCTTAGCCTGGTGGCCGGTCTGGACCATCTTAGGCTCCCGGTACTGGGAGCGTTGCCCATCCGCCCAGGTACATTCGCACACGCCGGGGCTTTTACGGGGTAGGTTTCAGTCACATCGAAGCATACCCGCTAGTGATGACACAAAATGGCTCATGCTCGATAAGGGTTGATGCCTTCGTGGACTGTTTTGATCTGCCTTTCTGGACTGCACAAAATTCTTCTTAGGTCAAAATTTTGGACAGCTCTTACTGACATGCGTAGGCAAAAATAATTTGTATGTTTCGCACCCCCCCCCCCCCGGT